TTAGAATTTCATTGTTTAGATCTAATAACTTTGCTTTATATAATTGGGTCCTTCATTGTTAGCTGCATATATATTTATGGTTGTTTCCTATGCTGAATTGATCCTTTTATCTCTATACAGTGACCTTCCTTGTTTATTTTTAAAGTTTTTGATTTGAAATCTATTTTATTTGATGTAAATACAGCTATTCTTGCTCACTTTTGTTTTTTTTTTTTTTTTTTTTTTTTCCGAGAGAGAGAATTTTTTAATATTTATTTTTTAGGTTTTGGTGGACACAACATCTTTATTTTATTTTTATGTGGTGCTGAGGATCGAACCCCACACCCCGCTCATGCCAGGCGAGCGCGCTACTGCTTGATCCACATCCCAGCCCCTCACTTTTGGTTTTCACGGTTTACCTTTTTTCATTCCTTCACTTTCAATCTATGTATGTCTTTACTATTTAAGTGAGTTTCTTGTAGGCAGCACATGTACAGTCTGGTTTGTTGTTTGTTTGCTTTTAATCTATTCAGTATGTTTGTAACTTTTAATTGGGGAATTTATTCCACTTACATTTAAGGTTTTTAATGTAAATAAAGATACACTCCTGCCATTCTATTTTTTTTTTTTTTATATTCTTTTGTATATCGTCTTCCTTTTGTCCTGTCTTGTTCATTTTTGTGATTTGGTTTTGGGATTTTTTTAATTTGTTTTTTTGTTTTTGTTAGGTTTTTGGCATTGATAGGGCTCAATTTTCTTCTTTCTTTTTCATGTATGTTCTTTTCTTGCATTTTGTACTTGTTAATGCATTTCTTATGGTACTTGTTGTCTTTTTGTTTCTAATATAGGACTCCCTTAAGCAGTTGTAGAACCACTCTGGGGCTGATAAATTAGCTTGACTTCTTCTTGTCTTAGAAAATCTTAATTTTTTTCCTTACTTCTGAAGGAAAGTTTTGGTGGGTGTAGTATTCTTAATTAGCTTCCCCTGCCCCAGAAGTTTGGATATATCATACTATTCTCTTTGACCTATAAGATTTCTACTATAAAGTCTGCTTTTAGTTTAATGGTGATTCTATTATAAGGGACTTATTAATTTTCTCTTGCTATTTTAAAAAAAATTCGCAAATTTTATAGGTGTGAAATTAAGTAATTTAAGTAGAATGTAAGTAATTTAAGTAAAATGATCTACAAATACAAGTCTATCCAGTGAGAAAATTAGTACTTGATTCTCTAGGTCTATCTGATTTTATAATATATTATTAACTATTAGAGGCATCATTTAACTTTAAAAATCATTGCATATGAGTTATATTAAAGGTTATATGATAATTGCTTTGAAGGGATGGCATGAATATGACATGGGTTTTTCTATCTTGTATGTTAATATTCCTAGAATCAATTTCAAATAATTTCCTAGTTGAATAAGCAGTTGGAATGATAGAGTGTAATAAATTGTATGTATAAATAATACAGATATTCAGTTGGCTTCTTTTAGTTAGACAGTTTTTTTTTTTTTTCCTTTTTATGTCACTAGCAATAAAACCCAGGGCCTCACATGTGCTAGGCAAGTACTCCACCACTGAGCTTTATTTCTTGCTCAGTTGGCTTACTGTAGAAGTTACTATCATGGAGTCATTATCATTGTAAAATTTCTAATCCTCTTCTGTAATTGGACCATAAATGGTTTGGTTCCCAACCCTTTTGTATTCATATTTGTTAAGAACCAGACTGTACAAACATAAATTGAATTGTGAAGCACAGTATGAAGATAGAATTAGATATATTGAATCCATAATCAATGCAATAGAGAATCTGAAACATAGTAACAGTAAAAGAGAAAAAAAAAATCTTCCCAAGCCATGGATTATACAAGTAGAGAGAATGTGAGAGGAAGAGAAGTCACTAGCTAGGGTTGAAGTGGTTAGCATGTTGTAGTATAACCAGAATTGTTTGGTATGTTGATACAGCAGGAGTGGGAGCCCTTTATTGCAGGACAGGAGCAGTATTTATACATTCCACACAGCTTATCTAATTAGCATAAACTAGATACATCAGTCAACCAATCAGGAATCTCCACACTTAATGGCTTGCTTTTGTTACTTCTCAAACCACTCCCTCTGGCATTTTGCCAGGCACCATCCAGACTTGTTTACGAACTCTAACATTCCCCTGGCAAAATGCCAGGTGTTATTTTGACTTGTTTATAGACTCTAACATGGTAGTTCTATCCAATAGAACTTTCTGTGATGATGAAAATGTTGTATATAAGTACTGTCTATTACAGTAGATATTACTGACCATATGTGTCTAGTGGGCACTGGAAATGTGGTTAGTTAAGTGAACAACATATTTTTTAAATTTTAAGTTGTTTGAGAAGTGTGTATCAAGTTGGACAGCGTGAGACTAGAGTGTAATGAAGATGAGGAAAAAGTACAGAAATAATTTGGAGACTATTGTATTAAGATACAAAACTATCCTATGTGGTAGAAGGCTCACTGAGGTTGGAGTGAGGGATCAAAGTGAGAAATAACAGCATGATAGGAAAAGGAACCAAAAGTTTTTTGAACAGTGTACTAGAAATTGGAATTTTATGTTCATATTTAAAATATACCTTTGTGAGTAAAAATTATGTGTTTGGTGATAAAGCCACAGAAACAAGAAAGGTTAATGTATCATTTGCTCATGTAACTGAAAGTGAGATACTTAAATATATCTTCAAAGCTCACCACACTGTCTGAAGGACATACGACAATATCTTGAAATTTTCGAAGTGAATTTTTATCTTTTAAACTATGAAGATAGTTGTTTTAAATATCTGTAATGCTGATATCTTAAGTTTTTCATGTTAATTTCTATTGACTTTTGGTTTTTGTTGATTCTTATATTTGATGCTTTATTTCCTTGTGCTCTTTTTTATTTGTTAATGCATTACTATTTTTTATTCTTTAAAAAAATACTTTTCACAGTAGTTTGAAACTCTGTTTTTGCCTGGCAATTATTGAGAATACCAAGTCATGACTCATCTTAATTTGAGTTTAAAGATATAGAACTACATAAGCATTGTGAACCTGAAATGTAATTCCCCCTGACTTTGAGAACCAGTTTGCTTCTGTTATCTGTGCTTGGGACAAACTGGCCTCCTTGCTAATTTACCTCCCTGGCTTTCCATTCACCCTTCAGTTTGCCTAGGTAGTTCTTCCTTCAGTTTCTCGGCTTTAAGAAATTATTGTTACTCATGTTTTACCTAGTAATTTTGGTTGTTTTCATGGGAGTATTGGTTAACTTTTACACCATTTTTAGAAATTATTCCACTGTCATTAGAAACAGGAACCTTGTTTAATTTTTAATTTTATGGAAGAATGCTTTGCTCATAATTTTTAACATGCTTTGTGGCATAATCTTTCTATTGTGTGATCTTTATTATTTTTTTCATGTTCTTTTTCACTTTTTATCTTTTGTAAATTTTTTTTAATAGGCCACGTGTTGGAAGTTTTTTACTGTCACTCTTTATTGATGGTATTACTAATGGGGCTAGTAGGCAGCTCAAATATTTGAACAGTTTTTCCCTACATTTTTCTCACAAACATCCTTTTCTAGATTGTGATTCCCTCTTTGGCTAGTCAGAGCTTTCCTGCAATACCATATGTTTTAGGTTCCCTTTTCTGACTTTCATTTCCTTGCTATTTGTAGTTTCAGAAAGGACAGAAGACATAGACTTTTTTTTTTTTTTTGGTCAACTTTGAAGAAAATACTATTCTGTTCCTCTAATGGAACTTCTTTTTTACATAGTACTTATACTGTAATTCAAATCTTTAAATTTAGCTTTCTCATATTTTCCAAACATTCATTTCCTAATTTCCACAAACTTCTCTTTTACTACTATTACTTTTGACTCCCTGTATTAAAAAGTCTATTGATTGATTAAATAATCAGTGTCATCTTTCTAATAGCCTCACATTACTTTATATGTGAAGCTTTGGATAAGTTGATCTTAAATATTCCCTCTATACTTAGTGATTTCTGTGCAAACTGATATTTCTAACAGTTTGTAATTTATCAGTGCAAAATGAATCAGGTACTACAGGGGGAAATTATAATTATTTTTCTTTTTTTAAAATCTGCTGTTAACAGATAATATAAACACAAAACCTAGCATGTGAATGTTTATAGAAGCTGTATTCATAATTGCCCAGAATTGGAAGCAACCAAGATGCCCTTCAATAGGTAAATGGATAATCATCCATTTGATGGATATTATGCAGTAGTAAAAGGAAATGAGCTATCAAGCCATGAAAAGACATGAAGAAAACTAAAATGCAAATTGCTAAGTGAATGAAGCCATTTGGGGAAAGCTACATATTTTATGATTTCAACTATATGACATTGTAGAAAAGGCAAAATTATAGACAGTGTTAAAAGTTCAATTATTGCCCTGAGTGAAAGGAAGATGGAGGAGGAATAAATAGGCGGAGTACAGGGGAGTTATAGTAAAATTAATTTGTCTGATACTATAATGGTGAGCATGTGACATTATACATCTGTCAAGATGTGTAGAATTATACAAACAGTGAATCCTAATATAAACTATGGTGTTTTGTTAAAAATGATGTGTCAGTATTAGTTTATTAGTTATTACAAATGTATCACAATAATGTAAGATGCTAAGTAGGAAAACTGGGGAGGGGATATTGGAGGCTGGTAGCAGGTATATATGAGCACTTTGTACTTTTTGTTTTATTTTCCTGTAAACCTTAAACTTATTCTGAAAACAAAAGTGTATTAATTAAAAACATTGATATTAAAAAGAATTTGTTGATAAAGAGTTCATAAATATTGGCTAAACAAACTAACATATTATGTGGCCTAAAGAAAGTAATAAGCTCTTTTGAATATGTTTCTTTTTTATTGTTAACTATCCTTTCATACTGTTAACTATTAGAAACTTATTCTACCTTTTTTAGACTACTTGCAATCATCTTGTTTCCTGTTTTTTTTTTCCCCTCCTCCTTTTTTTCTATTAGGTGTACTAGCTCTATCTTGGTACCCACCTGATTCAAGTGATGAGAATGGAGAAGCTACTGATAACTTGGTACCGACTATTTTGGATAAAGCTCATAAATATAATCTGAAGGTATTTAATTTATTTTCAAGATATACGTAAATTAACTTTTGTACAAGAAGATAGTGAAGCAATTTTTGGAGTGATAATTTAATTAAGAACTTAATATGCATGAAAGTAATGATTGAGAATTTTTTAAAATATTACTGCTTCATAAAAAAATTTCTATTTAAGTTTCAAACATTGTACAAATTATAATAATTTAAAGATCTCTTGCTAATTTTCTAGTTATGTTTTATGTAAATCTTTGGTTATTTTAGCAGAAAGAGAACAGAAAGGTTCTTTTAAAAGGTAATACAGAAATTGTAGATGATTTATATGTAAAGGTATAGATGTCAGAAAGCTAAAAAAAAGTATTATTAATCATATGACTTTACATCTTTATAAAGTAGTTATAAAATAAATTACTGCTCAAATATTTTCCCAAATCTGATTTTTTCTTAAGGTCTGTTTAATATGCATAAACACACAATCCTGTATACATTTAGAACAGGTGAAAGATGGAAGACAGCTGTTGGTGTAAATATATTCTACTCAAATATTAAGGTATATCCAAATGAGGGAAAGTTTTTCACAAGGTAGGATATTACTTATTTTAGAAATTAATTAGTTATGGAAACAAAAATGAGTGATGATTAAAGAGATTTAAAAAGAAATTACAAGAGGAAATTTTTTTACTGAATAACAAGAAAGTAAGCATTATTTTAAAATTCAAGTATAATTAATTTGTGTATAGGTAGCAACATTAATTATAATATTCACAAAATTATAGTCCTAGAATCTATATTTTCTAACCACTTTCAAAATAACTTAAAGTTGATTAAAGTAAAACTATTTTAAAAATACAAAATTGTATACAATTTAAATAGTACCTGCTGTAAACAAAAAATCAAACTTTCATTGAAGATGTTATAAAAAAGATAATAAAGATTATTTCATAATCAATATCAATGGGACATGGATAATAAAATTAAATAGAAGATAGAACAATAATGATGATATGAAAAATTAATTAAAACTGAATTATGGCACACTCCTATAATTTTAGCTATTCATCAGGATGAAATACGAGGATTGGAAGTTCAAGGCCAGCCTGGGCAACATAAGGAGACCTTCTTAAAATAATAATACTAATTAAATAAGATCCAAATCTTTAAAATCAGTATCCTACATAGATTCATTATAATTGTTTCCATGTTGGGGAGAGAGGGAATAGGTGAACCACTTGTAAGTTGAAAAATGAATTTTTAAAAATGGAGAAAACATAATATCAAAAATTAGAAGGTAATATACTTATAGGTATAAAAGAAAGTTTTAAATTATATATTGGAATTTTTGAAATTCAGAAGAAATTGATGTTTTTGGAAAATGCCCAAGGTTTTGTCTTCTTTTTTTTTTTTTTTTTTTTTTTCTGGATTTTTAAATTTTGTACAAGAAAGAGGTTTAAAAAATTCTAAATTAATTTTCCTAGTAAATAATGTAAAAGTTAGTTAAATAAATGCCTTCCCCAAAGCACTAGATTTTCTTATTGGTTATTGATTCTTTTGATATTGAAATATTGATATTGTAAAGTGTACTATTTATGCATAAAAAATTGCCCAGAACTTGGTAGCTTAAAACAATACACATTTATTATCTCTCACATTTTCTAAGGGTGAAGAATCGGAAAGTGTGTTAACTAGGTTGTTCAGTTCAGGATCTCTCAAGGTTACAGGCCAGTTGTTGGTTGGTGTTATTATCAGTGGAGACTGGAGCATCCACTTATAAACTTTCTCTTATAGTAGTTAACAGCAGTCAGTTCCTTCCAGCTGAAGTACACGAGGGGTTTTAAGTTTTCATCTTCGTACACCTCTTCACAAGACTACTAGAGTCACTTTAAGACATGGCATCTGGATTCTCCAGAATACTTTGAATGATTTGACGGAAAGAGGGTACAATATAGAAGTTACACTCTTTGTTGTTGTTGTCATTGATCTAAGTTTGGAAATGATGTATTATCACTTTTGCCCTTTACTATTTGTTTGTATATTTATAAACCAGTTCTGTCATAATATGGGAAGGATTACGAAGGTTGTAAATACCAGGAGATGAGGGTCAATGTGGGCTACCTTTGGGATGCAATCTCAGAAAACTTTCTAATTTATTGTATAAAGTTTACACAATCCTTTTTCAGAACTCAACAAAAATAGTACAAAAAAGAGACTTCTAGATTGATCTAATAAAAATTCCTAAAGAAAATTTGGGTGAAAGTGTTTAATATATTATCGTGATCTAAGAATGGTTCCAAGAATATGAAATCCAATTTCAAATCTGTATTCAAACCTGGCTTTAGATTTATATACAACTCTTGTGTCTTAGTTCCTTCATCTCCTAAATAGAAATAGTTATAGAACCTACCTTATTGAGTGGTAAGAAGAATTCATAAGGTAATACATGTAAAATCTCTGAGGTTAGTATCTGACACAAAATAAGCAATCTATAAGTGTTATTAAATAAAATTTCATTGACTATTTAAAGAAGATAAAACAGGATCATCTTAATGGATACTGTAAATTCAAGGCAATAACTCCTTGATAATAATGGTCTATAAAATTCTCAATAAGCAAAATTCTTTAACTTGGCAAAGGATATCTTTAATAACTGATATCAATAATTTTACCTATGGGAAAAGAGTAGCATCATGAAAATTACCTAGACACTATTAGAAATACTTTAACTGACCTAGGTGTCCTTCAACAGATGAATGGGTAAAGATAAGGATATATATATTATATATATATATATATATATATATAATATATATATATATATATATATATATATATTATATATTATATATATATATTATATATATATATTATATATATGTATATATATTAATATATTATATGAATTTAATGTAACCCCATATATATATATTTTATACACACACACACAGGAATATTATATTATTCAGCCACAAAGAAGAATGAAATTATGGCATTTTCTGGTAATTGAATGGAACCGGAGACTATCATGCTTCATGAAATAAGCCAATCCCCAAAAAGACAAAGCCTGAATATTCTTTCTGAAATGCAGATGCTAACACACAATAACAGGGAAGAGGGTAGAATAGAAGTTCATTGGATTAGAAAAAGGGGAATGAAGGGAAGGGAGGAGGATGGGACTAGGAAAGACAGAATCAAACATACTTTTTCTGTTTGTATATTAATACACTACCAGTGAAACTCCACATCATATATAATCACAAGAATGGGATCCTAATTAGAATAAGTTTTACTCCATGTATGTATAATAAGTCAAAATATACTCTACCATCATGTGTATCTAAAAAGAACAAATCTTAAAAAATTATTTTAAATAATAATGATTTCAGTAAGGTGGCTGGTGCCAAAAAGTGTACAATTCAATAGGATTCCTAAATTATGGAAGAAAATTGAAAAAATTACATTGAAGATAAAATCAGTAGATATACAAAAAAATCTTCAGTACTTTATTGAGGGAAATATAGAATCTGCATAAATGAATAAACATGAATTTGATGAGAAATTATAAAAGTTTATAAATATCTTTGATTCAAGTAAGACTTTTAAAGAATGGTAAATGAAGGAAAATTGTCTTCCAGATAACAAAATGTATTATAAAATGGCAGGAATTAAAGAGTATGACATTTGCCTCAGTATGGAGAAAGAATTCAATGAAACAATACAAAAAAGGCACAAGTCATGTCATGTGGTAACCTAATAATGTAATTTAAGAAGCACCTAAAAGCAATATAAAACTAATGCTTATTCTTGCTCTTGTGCTCATGATACCATTTTTTCCTCCTTTTTCTTTCTTTTTTTTAATATCATCTACTCTGTTCTTTGTATTTGGGCAGTAATATTTCATGTCTGATACTTCTTACTTTTCTTCAGGTTGCTCATATTTCTTCAAGTTTATTCTTGTTCAGTTCAGTGTGTTTGCAAATCTTAATGAAAATGTGCAGTGGAGTGGCTTTTAACAAGGGACCCTTCACTTTGAGTTTTCACATTACTAAATTTGTTGAGGTTTTTTTAACCTGGTCTCTAACTTCTTAGAGTTCATATACCCTAATTGAGCATAGACTGGTTTGTCCAAAACTTGTCATTGAATTGTGTAAAAGATTATTTGAATCACAGTCAAATTTTTTTTTCAAAATAAATATATGAAAATTTAGTTTTGTTTTAATTTTCTTTTTGCAATTTAAAAATTCAGTAGTTATTAGGGAACAGAAGTGGAATTCTAGGGAGACAGAAATAGCTAAATAGGCACACATTTTATTGTATACTTTTTCATAAAGCTGCTTCCTCTTAAATTTAAAGTCCTGAAACTAAGGATAGCATCTCTCAAATAAGCTGACTAGGAAAGGTGTCACCTGCTGTGTCTCTCAGTGCCATTTAGTGAGTTTTCATTGCTATCTGAAATCTGCAGGTTCTGATACCATCTCTGAGACTGGATAAATTATTGATGTCACTTCTACAAAACAAATTCAAGGGCCACTCTTCTGATCAGTCCCTGAAATAGTCCTAGGAAATGAGAGCTCAAGAAACTGTTTTTATACTTTCAGGTGGTTTTTAAAATGTGTTGGGGGCTGTGAATGAATTATGAGTTTGTTTGAGCCATCTCAAGGCAGGTGGGTTGCTTTTCTGAGAACTCTTGTGTGAAATTCCCTCAATTTGAGACTGCTAAGATTATGCTGACACCATGTCCATTAGCTCAGACAGCCTTAGGTTCAAATGCAGCTGTCTGGCAGTAGAGGTGAGCTCAACCTGTTAAGCCCCAACCAAGTTGTCTTTGCCATGTTTTTCCTGTTTTCCTCAGGAAGTTCTTCACTCTTAATCCCATTGGCCTTCCTCCCCATTTAAATAAAGGGATTGTGCTCCATTCTGTTATTAGATCCAGTCTCCAAAAGAGCTGGATCTTCCCTAAATATTTGCTAGAACAGGGGCTTTAGCACTTGTAATTGTAATTCAGTAAGCTGATTTTGAAAAGAATATAAAAATCAGAGTAGGATTGTTTCTACTCACAATATCCTCCCTATCCTACACCATGAAGAATAATATATCAGTGAACCAGTTTTTTAGTGAGAAATGATAAAATTTTTAATTCCTGTTGATAAATAAGTAAAATTAGGAATAAAAGTGAAAATTGTTATATTTTTTCTTTTATTAATCAATTAATATTAAATTGATTGTAATTTATGGGAAGTCATCATCTGTATTGTTTACCTTACAATTTGAAGTGGCCTACAAGATAGTTTTATTAGTCATAATCAGATTTTCTAGATTAATGTATAATCGTTTTGGGGTAGCAAATTTAAATCTCTTCACAGTACATTTAAAAGCATTTTTTTTAAGAGAGAGAGAGAGAGAGTTTTTTAATATTTATTTTTCAGTTTTCGGTGGACACAACATCTTTATTTTATGTGGTGCTGAGGATCGAACCTAGCGCCCTGCGCATGCCAGACGAGCGCATTACCGCTTGAGCCACATCCCCAGCCAAAAGCATTTTAATTACTGCTTTCTACTATTATTATAGAGACTTAAGATATAAATAGCATAAGCACTATGAAAGTTATTGTTCTATATCACTATTAGATATTACTTTGTCAGTAATTTGTTATAATAGTACAGGTTAATTGGACATTTAAAGAAAGATATCAATCCTGCTTATCATTTCAAATGATTCTCTATTTCATTGATCTATTATATTTATTTTTTACTCTCAATTTCATCTCTGATCTTAATTATTTAATTATCTCCTGTATTCTACTGATTTTGAAATTAGTTTGTTCTTCTTTTCCTAGGGATTTGAAGTGTAATATTATATTATTTATTTTGGAGCTTTCTGGGTTTTGTTTTTTTTTTTAAATGTAGGAATTGAATGCTTTAAACTTTCCTCTTAGAATTGCCTTCGTACTGCCCGAGATATTTTGTTATGTTCTCTTTTTGATCTAATTCGTTGCCAAGAATCTTTTCATTTCTCCTTAGATTTCTTCTAAAACCCATTCCTCTTTCAAAAGCATTTTATTTAATCTACAAGTATTAAAATGATTTCTACTTCTTTATCTTCTTATTGATTTCTAATTCCATTCATTATGATCTGATAGAATGCAAGGATTAATATCTGTGTTTTTGTTGTTTGTTTGTTAAGATCTGTTTTCTGTCCAAAAATATGATCTAGATTAGAGAAAATTCCATGTGCCATGGAGAAAAAAGTAATTCAGTTGTTACAGATGAAATATTCTATGGATGTTTGTGAGGTCCATTTGATTAACAGTATTTTTTAGTCTGAGGTATCTTAATTTATGTCTTGTGAGGGGGTGTGTTGAAATCACCCAGTATTATTGTATAGTGGTCTCTTTATTTCTTTATATTGAAAAGGGTTTGTTTTGTGTACATAGGTGCATAAATACTTGAGCCATAATTATTTACAATTATTATATCTCATTATTGAATGATTCTCTTATCTGGTATGCATTGACCTCTTTGTCTCTTCTAACTAATTTTAACTTGATATCTACATTGTCTAAGAGTAGCTACCCCTTCTTGTGCTTGGTCTCCATTTCCAGGGTGTATCCTTTTTCATCTTTTCATCTTTAACCTGTTTATGTCTTTGCCTGAAAATTAAGTCTCTTATAAACAACATATGTTTGTGTCTTATTTTTTAATGCTTTCTTCCCATATGTATCTTTTGACTAGAGAGTTTAGATCATTTACATTCAATATTATTATAGAGACATGAGTTTTATTTCCTGCCAATTTGATATATTCTAATGCTTAAATCTCCAGTAATTAATCTGAGAGAGAAATCAGGAAAATTACCCCAATCACAATAACCTAAAGAAAGAAATCCTTGGGAATAAATGTAACCAAAGAGGTAAATGACTCTACAATGACAACTGTAGAACACCGAAGAAAGAAATTAAAGAAGACCTTAGAAGATAGAATGACCTTACATGTTCTTGACAGAATTAATATTGTCAAAATGGCTATACTATCAAAAGCAATACACAGATTTGATACAATGCCCATCAAAATACAATAACATTCTTCACAGAACTAGATAAAAGCATTCCAAAAATTAATTTGGAAGAATAAGAATTAGAATAGCCAAAGTAATCCTGAGCAAGAAGAGTAATGGTGGAAACATCACAGTACCTAATCACAAATTATACTATAGAGCTATAGTAACAAAAATAGCATGGTATCAGCATAAAAACTGATAGGAATACCAGTGGACTACAAGAGAAGACAGTCAAGTCTACAAGGATACAGTCATGAGATACTTAACAGAGGTGCCAAAGATATATGTTTGGGAAATAACATTTTTTAAAAAATGGCTGGAAAATTGGATGTTCATACATATAAGAATGAAACTATATCCCTATCTCACCCATTATAAAAATCAACTCAAAATAGTTCAAAGATCTAGAAATTAGACCAGGTACTTTGCAATTGCTGGAAAAAAACATAGGGTCAACACTTAATATATTGGCACTAACTTCCTTAACAAGACCCCTGAAGTAAAGTTCTAGAAGTAAAATTAGTAAATGAGACATCATCAAATTAAAAAGCTGCTTCATGGCAAGGGAAATGAGCATGAAAAGAGAGACTACAGAATGGGAGAATATCTTTCCCAGTTTCTCCTCTGTCAGAGGAATAATACCCAGAATATACGAAGGACTCAAAAAACTTAACTCCAAAAAATAAAATAACCCAATCAATAAATGGACAAAAGAACTAAACAGTAACTTCTCAAAAGAAGCAATATAAATGATCAACAAATCAATGATAAAATGTTCAATATTCCTAATAGGGAAATGCAAATCAGAACTACATTGGGATGTTGTCTCACTCCAGTTAGAATGGAAGTCATTAAGAATATAATAATGAATGCTGGCATGAATGTGAGAAAAAAGTTATACATTGTTAGTGGAACTGCAAATTACTACAACCACTGTGAGAAGCAACATGAAGTTTCCTCAAAAGAGAATAGTAGGAGTGGAACTTCCATATGACCCACTTATCCCATGCCTTGGTATTATCCTGAAGAATAAAATCAGCATAAATTATATTGATACAGGCATATCAGTATTTATAGCAGCACAATTCACAATAGCCAAGTTGTGGAACCAGCCCACAATAGTGGCATTTGCTGGTAAATGGATGGAACTGGAGACTATCATGCTAAGTGAAATAAGCCAGAATCAGAAAATTAAGGGTCAAATGTTTTATCTAATATTCAGAAAGTAGACAAACTAAGGAAAAATACAGATCAACAGAGTAGAGAAGGGATGGGCAGTGGGAAAAGGGAGGAACAGTGGAGTGAGTTTAGTGAAAATATGATATATATATACATATATATATATATATATATATACACACACACACACACACACACAAACACATACATATACATACACACACATGCAAATATAGTGAATTTCACCTTTGTGTATATCTATCAAACACAAATTTTTTTTAAAAAAATACCTATAAAGAAATAGAAGGCAGACCAAAGAGTAGAGGAATGGGAACAGGAAGAGAGTAGGAAAGGGAAGATGAAGTACTTGGGACTGAAGTAGAGATAATTATATTCCATATAGCATGAGCCCCACTTTCATGAATAACTGTAATCCACTAGGAAAAACATTTAAAAATATGTATCTTAATATTGAATGTGTGCCTATATATTTCATGTACAATGTAAAGATATATTTCTATGTTATACATTTTTATGATAAGATATTTTAATAAAGTATTGTACAGTGTTTAACGTGTTTCATAAAATATTTGCACACTAAATTCAGTTCTGAATTCAGATTACCTATATTGCCTACTACAAACTGGATGACCCTGAGGAGTAAATATGTAGCAAAAATTGTGTAAATAACATTCCTACACTTTGACACTTGTCAACAACAAAGGAATTCTTATTACTGATATAAAAAAATCAGTTTATGATTCCCTGTAGAAAATAATGGGCTTTTTATGGCATTTGTCACCATTCGTAAACCTCAGTGTACTTAATATATTGTTTAGTAATGTAATATCTTGTTTGATAATATGTCCAGTATTTTAATGTTTAAAAATAAAAATGCATTTTAATTATATTTTATGACTAACTCCCTGAAGAACAATGGTGTACTTAAACTTTACTGATTACCTTCATTTTTGATACATTAACAGTTTTTTTCTATGTCAAACAAATTGTGAATATTACTGAACCTATATTAACTTTAAATTCCCTCATTTAGAAAATGGAGACAGTAACTACTTTATGGAACTCTGAAGGTTAACTGAAGTAATAAATATAGAGTTTCACATATTGATTAGCAGAGGAAACCCTTATTACTAAGAATTCTCTGGTATCTTCTAAGTACAAAAAATTGACCTTAATATAAGGTTATTGAATCAGTCACTTTTAAAAATATATAAAATATAATTCACTTTTATTTTTACCTTAGATAATTTTTTTTCTGTAATTGATTTTATTTTCTTCTTTTAGGTTACTTTTCACATAGAACCATATAACAACCGAGATGATGAAAACATGTACAAAAATGTCAAGTACATTATAGACAAGTGAGTTTCTTCAATGTATATAATTACTGTTGTATTATCCTGTGATAGTTATTATAAGAAGGCCACATTTAAATTATACTTGAGATTTGAATGGTGTATGAACTTTGAATTTTAATAAAATTAATTTAGACTATATTCACAATAAACGTCTCAAACTTTTTGAGGAACATTTCTGATTTTTTGTTCTCGTTGTTGCCAGGGAATGAACTCAGGGGTGCTTGTCAACCACTGAGACACATCCCCAGCCCTATTTTGTATTTTATTTAGAAATAGGGTCTCACTGAGTTGCTTAGTGCCTCGCTTTTGTTAAACCTGGCTTTGAACTTGTGATCCTCCTGTCTCAGCCTCCCAAGCCACTGGGTTTACAGGTGTGACCCACAATGCCCAACCATTTTTGACATTTTTTACAAGTTACTTTTGCATGAATAAATATTGCTGATTTTATTGTTTTACATTTATAAGATGATTTCTGTCATTGATTTTTAAGTTTATATTTTAAAAATCATATAAATATAGTTTTATCTTTTAAAATAGGTTTAGATAATGTTACTTATACTAATAGACACTTACCTATTTTTTATTTCTATCTAGTATCATTAACAGGAAAGAATTTATTAAAATAGTTTCATTTTTTAAAGGATTTTACTAATAGTAATCTTTGACAGATGCCATACTCTTACAAAAGACACTTGTCAACAACAAAGGAATGCTTATTACTGATATAAAATAATCAGTTTATGATTCCCTGTAGAAAATAATGGGCTTTTTATGGCATTTGTCACCATTCGTAAACCTCAGTGTACTTAATATATTGTTTAGTAATGTAATATCTTGTTTGATAATATGTCCAGTATTTTAATGTTTAAAAATAAAATGCATTTTAATTATATTTTTATGACTAACTCCCTGAAGAACAATGGTGTACTTAAACTGTACTGATTACCTTCATTTTTGATACATTATCAGTTTTTTCTATGTCAAACAAATCGTGAATATTAATTTTCTTTTAAATATGTTTGTGTTCTAGGTATGGAAATCACCCAGCCTTTTATAGGTATAAGACAAAGACTGGAAATGCTCTTCCTATGTTTTATGTCTATGATTCCTATATCACTAAACCTGAAAAATGGGCCAATCTGTTAACCACGTCAGGGTCTCAGAGTGTTCGCAATTCTCCTTATGATGGATTATTTATTGCACTTCTCGTAGAAGAAAAACATAAATATGACATTCTTAAAAGTGGCTTTGATGGAATTTACACATATTTTGCCACAAATGGATTTACTTATGGTTCATCACATCAGAATTGGGCTAACCTAAAATACTTTTGTGATAAATACAATTTAATATTTATTCCAAGTGTGGGCCCAGGATACATAGATACCAGCATTCGTCCCTGGAACTCTCAAAACACTCGGAACCGAATCAATGGGAAGTATTATGAAGTTGCGCTTAGTGCTGCTCTTCAGACACACCCCAGTTTAATTTCTATCACCTCTTTTAATGAGTGGCATGAAGGAACTCAAATTGAAAAAGCTGTACCCAAAAGAACCAGTAATACAGTTTACCTGGATTATCGGCCTCATAAACCAAGTCTTTATCTGGAACTAACTCGCAAGTGGTCTGAAAAATACAGTAAGGATAGAACAACTTACACATCAGATCAACAGCTACATTGATTAAGGTTTAATAATTACAAGAAGCACCTCATTTTAATAAATGACTTTAGTTTTGAATTATGAAAAAAACTATAAAAATCAATATGCATTATTGCTGTTATAATTTTTACCTTTTTAAAAGAGTATTATCATTGCCACTTATTATCATATTGCACTGAGTAAATATGTAACAGAAATTGTGTAAATAACATTCCTGTGGCATTATTTATTACATGTCTGGCTTAAATTGAAGTTTTAATTTGATGGCAGGTTTTTTTTTTTCACATTAGATAAATGCTTGTGTTACAGAAATCAGTTAGCACACAGTAAATTCCTGCTTGCCTCCTGTGCATTTAGTATGTCCAAAGAAAAACAAACAAAACATGGTGTATGTGTTTCATTTCTAATTTTGACCATGATTCAATCAACTTTATTGTATTAATATTCAGACTCTGGACAACTTTCCCATAGTGATGAAATGTTTAAGTATAATATAATCACTCTTACAATTTTCCTGTGAACTTAAAATTGCTGTAAATAATAGTCTTTTTGTTTTTTTTTTAATAAGATATCTTAAGGCTAACTGTGAACCATATTGTGTTTGGAAGATTTCTTTTCCACAGCACAATCTGTATCACCATTTTAAGGTCTCTGATTACTTGTAGCTTGCTTGGTGTTTTGCATCTTTAGAGTGTTTCTTATGCTGCATTCCAGATATTAGAAACTGTGGGAAATACTTTATAAAAGTAAGTGGTTGCCTCTCGATTATTAGGAAAGCATTCCTTTCCTGATTGTGTTCAATATATAGTGCCCCAAGTATTATTTTGGGGATTCTTTGCCAATCTTTAGTTACTGTTTATTATTCATGTCTCAAAATTTTATGTTAACGACCAACTGTTAACTACAAAAGCAAAAAGTTAATACTATTATTGGATTGTTTTTAATGTTTTAAATTGTTTTTTATCATAGATAATAGAACCCAGTGGTATTCTACTACTGAGCTACACACCTGCCCCTACCCAATCCCTATTCTTTTTTTTTTTTTTTTGAGACAGAGTCCAAATTGCAATCCTCTTGCTATAGTCATCCAATTTATAATCCTCTTGCCTCAGTCTCAGAATCCTTGGGATTATAAGCATGCATACTGGGTCCAGTTACTTATTACTTTAGATATAAAAGAAACAAATTCCAAATTCTTTCATATTTAAAGTAATCTCTGAAAAATACAATACTTTGAATTCTTGTACATACTGATATTCCAATTGAAAATATTATTATGGTATCTGTCAGGTTAACATACTTATGATCAGTAAGTGTCAGATTGTGACAAATTGATCACTGTGTGCTGTGTGCTAACAGGTGATCTTTTTAACTTTAAAAACAAAAGAATAATACAATGCACTCTATTATTCTACTTAATATTTGTAACTACATACAATGAAAATCTAATATATATTCTTTCATGTAAATGTTACTTGTTACATATTTAATTCTACTAAGAAGAAACAGGGAAATGCTAACAAATTTTGCATATGAATCTTCTGAGTATAAAAATATTCAGAAACAAATTAATACTGGAAGTTATAATAAAATAATCCTTCAAATAAAAAGATTTTTTGAAGTAAAATTTCATATTTCTGAGAAAATGCATCATTAATGTTAAATTTATTTATAACTTAAAAGTTGTTATTTCCCAGAGAATAATCAGGCCACAGAAAATTAGATTCTCTGAGGAAATTATAAGAATGAATCACTATAATGATATTTTAATACAACCAAGCATCTTCAGAGCGATAGTCATACAAATGTAACCTGTTGATTTTTTCGTTCATATCCAATTAACCACTATATATTATTATAAAGGTAAATTATAACATATATATTAATCTTTTATAATATATCATGTTTTATTAAAATTTTTTGGAGAAATAGCTGCTACAGAGGAAATTTCTCCATTTCTTACATTGTATCTTTGAAGCCTCCATGACAAAAAATTATAAACTTTGTTAAATAGCTGAGATTAAGAGAACATATGTAAAAATATTATCAACACATTCCCAAAAGGGATACCACCACTCTAAATACCTTCTTCCCACTGCAGACATAGATAATTCATGCTTTACCTCTATGCTTTGTTGTGATTTCCCAACACCTTCCTCCAACCAGAGAGTAGCAGTTAGATTTCAAAGAACAATAAAATATGTTCTGTCTTCATTGTAAAAGTTATTCTCAATGCCAAAAACTGTTGAAGTATTTTTTTCATAATGGCTCATTTATAATTATCTGAATATTCCTCTGTATCCATGGGTTTTACATCTGCAGATTTATCCATCTGTTGGTTGAAAATATTCAGGGAAAAAAGTTGCATATGTAGTGAATATATAAATTTTTTCTTATTATTATCCCCTGAATAATACAATCTACCAATTATTGGTGTACCATTTACATTGTATTAGGTATTATAAATAACCAAGAAATGCTTTAAAATACACAGAAGTAAGTGTGTAGGTTATATGCAAATACTATATACCTTTTTATATTAGGGACTCCAGCATTCACAGATTTGCTATTCATTGAGGGTCCTGCAATGAATCCCCCATGGATGCCAAGGGGTGACTGTATTTTAAATTGTTTCTAATAATTTTGTTAGTTCTTAAGGATGAATGCTTTCATAGTCTTCCTCAGGTATCCATTACAATTCCCTTTGCCATTTGATTTTAATAGAATTCAGATTATAATGATCCCAATAAATAAAAGCAAAAAATTGATTTCTTGTTTTAAAAACTATGTGTTCAAATTTGATAAGCTAAAATAACCTTTAAAACACAAAGTGATATATGTAATACATGAATCATAAAGAATTCTTTTATAAGATATAGTTTTTTATGATTTAGTCACTTAGTTTGATTATATAGACACCAAATATTTTATTGCCCCCTTTAAGGACTAATGTTGTCAAAAACTGCTGTTATTAATGTTTATCTAAGTTGTGTGTTACTTTTTTGTTTTAAGATGGTATGATTTGAGAAACAACTATTTTCTTATATGGAATAGATAATTTTCACCTAATAAAAGCGTACATGAAAATATTTTGTTGTATATTAAAATGTATTCATTTTTATTTATGAATGTTTTGATTTCTTATTAATAGATGATAGGTAGTATTGTCAACATTCACATATTCACATACAAAGATTTTCTTTTTAATTTTGGAAGACGTTTTTCCACTTTTTTTCCTGCTTCAGGTAAAATCATGATTAACTCTAACGTTTATTGAAAAACTTATCTCATAAAACAGCAAAGTCACCAGAGAATCTACCAATTCATCACCATGTGCTTTTTTAGAGTGATCAGTTATTAAGTAGGCATAATGACTCTTCCAAAACTCTACAATGCCTATAGAAACAATCCTTAACTATATCAAAATTTTGTAGCAATTTTAAATCAGATTGCTTTCTTGATTTCTTTTTCAGGTAACTTGCTATTGATGAATACAGAAACACTACTGAATCTGTATGTTAATATTGTACTCCGCAACTTTGAAGAATTTTAAAAATTGTTTTTCTAATGCTTTTTTGTGTGTGGAATCTTCAGCATTTACTATATTTAAGATTATGTCATCTGGAAACAATGACAATTTGACTTTCTCCTTTTCAATTTGAATATCTATTGATTTCTCATTTCTGATTGCTCTGGCTAGGATATCTTGTACTGTGTTGAATAAAAGTAGGGTAAATGGAAAATTTTGAATTAAAGTCAAATACTCTCATACTACAGTGCCATAAAAGAATCTTTTCTTAAAGACCAGCAAAATTTTATTTATTCACATAAATATATACCATTTCCAAATGATAAATGGACCTAGTCACATGCAAAAGAGCTTTATGGTACAGAGCATTCCTTTTTAAAAAAACAATGTACTCCAAATTAAATTTATCATTCCTGTGTTATATAGCTACTTAAAAGCTGAATTGTCAGTTTAGGGCAGTGTTGTTTTTTTTTTTTTTTTTCCTTAAGAATTGAGGTACTACTTTGCCTTCATTATTTATAGATACTTATTCATCTTTAGTCAAGGTTAGATGAAAAATATTTTGTTTGTACATAATAAATTTGTATTTATTGAATGTGGCTCTTCTATAAATCTTTTTTTTTTCAGTACTACAAATGGAACCGAGTGTTTCATGCATAATGAGCTCTATCACTATGCTATGTCTCTAGCCCCTTTTAAAATTTTATATGGAGATGGTAGCTGGGATTACAAGGATGAGTCACCACATGTGGCCTATATATTATACCTTGATTCCCCAAATTTATAATAACCACATTCCAGAATATTAAGTTATTAATAGTATAATGGAGCTGCCTAAAAGTGAGCATGATCACACATGCCTGTCCCAGGTATTCAGGAAGCTAGGCAGGAGGACTGCAATTTCCAAGCCAGCCTGAGAAATTTAGTGAGACCCTGTCTCAAAAAAATTTTAAAAATGGTTGAAAATGTAATTCAGTGGTTGAGCACTTTTCTAGCATGTGCAAGGTAATAGGTTCCATCCCAGTACCACAAAAAACAAAAGTAAATACATATACATAAACATAAAGCGGAGCTGTAAAAAGCCAACTGTATGATTGCAAAATTCTTAAATATGCCTTTGTTGTAATATTTATTCAATTAAATGATTGAACATTACTCTCTCATCTTTTTAAATATTTTACAAAAAATATTTAGTGACAATGATTATATGAACAGTTGCTGAACCCAAATTCTCCTTTTACCTTTCTACGTAAGTTTTATGTCTTTGTAATCAAAGTCATAATTTAATTCCCAAATAAAATATTCTGTTAATGTAGTACTATTTTTTCATTTCATGTTTATTTTTCCTTGATTCATCCTTAAAAAGATTTTAGGCATTTTTCTTCTAATTAGAATACAGGTATTGAGATTCTGTAGAAATGATTTTAAGTATTTTGCCACAAAGGTAAATATTACAAGTTAATAAATAAAGAATGGATTTTTTTTTTTTGTACTAGGAGTTGAACCCAGGGGTGCTTAACCACTGAGCCACATCCCCAGCACCTATTTTTGTATTTTATTTATAGACAGGGTCTCTTTCAGTTGCTTAGGACCTTGCTAACTTGCTAAGGCTGGCTTTGAACTTGCAATCCGCTTGCCTCAGCCTCCCAAATATAAAGAGTGAAATTTTAAAAAGAATGTCCACCTATATCCATATATAATTATGTTCTATTTATAAACATTGGCAAGTATTGAAAAGTGTTTTTGAATGTAGGATGGATCCAGCTTAGAAGTTTTCTGGTAGAGTTTTTTTGGATCTTGGATTCTCTAAGTATAGAATCATGTTATCAGCAAATAGTGATAGTGTGAGTCCTTCTTTTCCTATTTGTACCCCTTTAATTTTTTTTCTTCTAATTGCTGTGGCTAGAGTTTCAAGGTCTATGCTGAGTAGGAGTAGTAAGAGAGGGCATTCCTGTCTTGTTCCAGTTCTTAGAGGAAATGTCTCCAATTTTTCTCCATTTAGAGTAATGTTGGCCTTGGGCTTAGCATCAATTGCTTTTACAATGTTGAGGTATGTTCCTATTATCCCTAGTTTTTTTAGTGTTCTGAACATGAAAGGATGTTGTATTTTATCAAATGCTTTTTCTGAATCTATTGAGATGATCGTATGATTTTTATCTTTTAAGTCTATTGATTTGATGAATTACATTTATTGATTTCCATACATTGAACCAATCTTGCATCCCTGGGATGAACCCCACTTGATCATGGTGCACTATCTTTATAATGTTTCTGCATGCAATCTGCCAGAATTTTATTGAGAATTTTTGCATCTATGTTCATCAGGGATATTGGTCTGAAGTTTTCTTTCCTTGATGTGACTTTATCTGGCTTAGGTATCAGGGTGACACTAGCATCATAGAATGAGTTTGGAAAGGTTACGTCCAAAAACAAAAGAATATAAAACTTTTATGATAAATGTCCTCAGTATTTTGTTACACTCAGGATTTTATGATTATTTACTTATTGTGATGAATTGGATAAATTCCAAGCATATAACAACAATATACAATTCCTGGATTCATGAGGGGCATTGTGATAACTTACCCCAGAGCTTAACAGTTTTTAAGAGCAGAAATTAAACATCCAAAGAAGAAATCCAGGTATATATTTCTTAACCAATTTTCTCTATTATTGGTACTAATTTGACTTTGGGGTTGCTAGTTTGATTTTATACTCCCTGAAAAGGATCTGACTTGTTTTTATTTGACATTTTTTAGTATATATAGTTCCATTTTTGAAGCTGAGAAGTAGGTAGAAAAAGATAAACATACCTACATTCGTTCTATATCCCACTTTTGCAGTCTACTTTCTGTTCTTTTTGCCACGTGTCTCTACTTCCCTACTTACTACTTAATCTTTATCTTTCTAGTTCTCAGTTTACCTGCCTTTCTTTCTTATCCATTTTGATTTGAAAAGTATATCAGAAATTTATTAGAGTGGACAGAACATGAAAATACAATCTTAGAAGCACCACAAAATTAGGAATATACCTATTGAATCACCTGGAGACCAGTACTGGATGAAAACTGAAGAGTATGACAACATGTATTGCTATGCTAATGATCACAGATTCAATTCTAAAATTTTAATAGACAACATGAAAAAGTCATCTATATTGAACAATGTTCATGGTTATAAGATAAAAGGAAATTTATCAACAAGTATGGCTACTTGTTGGTGTTCAAGAAGAATTTCTTCTAAGAATTTTTATAAAAGTATTGTAATATAATGAAGTATCTTCAGCAGCAGCATCATACAAAATTATACAATACTCTTTCTTATGAATGCAATGACTAAAGTATTATGCCAAAGCCCAATTTGATACATATATCAAATGCATACACACACACTCACACACACACACACACACATGAGTGAACAAACCATGCGTGTATCCTTCAAGCAGATTTCCTACAAATTTTGGAGTGTTTGTATTAATTGCCTATTTCTTGAGTTTATGCCCCAGAGTACACTGATGAATGAGATTTATTCGACTTAGACACTAGCTTTCTGCTTTCAAAATGCTTTTTATTCTTTCTAGGTCTTACAACTTTATGTCTGTTGAGTCCTTATGATTAATTAGATAAGTCTGTGTCATAATGTTTCTCATAAATGATCAAAGTTAAAGGAAATTAAAACAAACATAAGTTCCATAAAGGAAAATGAGATTACTTATATATGTCACAATTTTATATAGAAAAAGGATTTACATTTGCTCAATTGTCAGAATATTAACCATAACTCACAAATTAGGAAAAAGAAGCCAAAATATTTATGATTTACCTGTTACTTATGTTTAAAATGAGGAGATTGGACTAGATATCTTCTGAGATTGCTATTTAACATTGATCATTTTTTTATGTTATTGATAACTAGAAAAAATGCATTTCTATAACACTACCATAAAATTGTTATGGAAAAAGTAAATCTTATAAAGTCACATAAACCTTGCCAGGCCCAGTGGCACAAGCCTGTAATCCCAGCAGCTCAGGAGGCTGAGGCAAGAGGATCAGGAGTTCAAAGCCAACTTCAGCAATTTAGCAAGGCCCTAACAAACTTGGTGAGATGCTGTCTCAAAATAAATTTGAGGGGCTGGTGTTGTGGCTCAGTAGTGGAGAGCTTGCCTACCATGAGTGAGACACTAGGTTCAATCCCCGACAACACATAAAAATAAAAACAAATAAGATAAAGTTAATGTGTCCATCTACAACTAATAAATAAATAAATAAATAAATAAATAAATAAAATTGAATAAATATAAAGGGCTGGGGATGTGGCTCAGTGGTTAAGTGCCCTGGGTTTAATCCACAGTATCCCTCTCCCTCAAATAAAAAAAAAAAATCATAAAAACCTTGAGATTCACATTTGTCATTCACTCTGTATGTTGTCACTCTTAATCTTTGCCTTTTAAATAATATTGTTGTGAAAATTATGTTAGTACATATTTTAAAAACCTAAAATGTCTTGACCCATAGTATTGCTCAACAGATGTTAACTATCACTTTTATACCCATCTTA